ACTTTAAGTTCAGGTTCAGTTCAGGTTCATAAATTCAAAGTTCAGTTCAGGTTCAGGTTCAATGATCTGCAAAATTTAAAGTTCAGGTTCAGGTTCAGGTTCATTGAACCTGAACCTAAACTGAACTAAACCTAGGAACTCTAATTATAACAGATAATGTATGTTAAAAAAATAAAATGTTTAATCTAATACTGCATTGTTAGTCATATACATATATATACATAGTATGTACATAGTAGTAATCTAAGCCACTCTATTTAGTAATATAAGTTATGATATTTATCATATATATAGATATGCATTTTCATTGGTTAGTTAGCCATATCGTGTAATGTAATCATGGACTTACTCCATGTATCCATGGTAAAAATTACGTAATAAATGATACGCCTCTAACAAAAACGGAAAAGAAATTCCTAAATTATCAGGAAAACTAGAAAACTTCTTACAATTAATCAAAAAAAAAAAAAATAGAAAGAGACCTCTAACTAGCTTTTCCAATTGAAGATTACAATATAGTAGCCATAGCTACAGACTTATTTAAATATATTTTAATACTAACTACATACCAACATATCTAATACAATTACTTGATCTACTATCTCCAAAATGGGACCTCTTTAGTGAAAGTTAGCAGAAAGAGAAGAAATAGATATGGTTAATGATCAATAACAGAAATATAAAGATAGAAAACTTCAACAAGTTATATACTACTAATATCAATACTTTTGTACATGAACCTAAACCTTTTCAATTGAAGAATCTAGCACAACTCAACTTTTTAATGCACAATGTACAAGGCTTGAATAATGATCTAAAATTTCAGAAAGTCCTAGACACAGGTCAAAAGATAAAAAATCAGTCACAAATCAGATACCCGATTTTAAACTGATTACTGCCTGATTACCACCTGATTTATGCATATTTTTGTACCAAAAATTTGGTACAAAAATATACATAAATCAGGTAATAATCAGGTAGTAATCAGTTTAAAATCGGGTATCTGATTTGTGACTGATTTTTTATCTTTCGACCTGTGAGAGTACTTAAATCAAGAAAAAATTCATATAGCAGCACTTACTAAAACCAAATTAAAGCAAAGCAATGATTACACATTAACAAATTTATTATACAAAATCTTTAGTTCCAACCACATAGCAAATAATCCTAACAAAAGGGAGGCCAGTATGGGAGTATCGATAGCGCTTCATCCAAGTCTTGTAAAATATATACATATGATCAATAAAATTCTAGGAACAGTGATACAAGTAGATCTCCTTCTACTACAAAACAAGCTTAGTATAATAGGCTTGTATATGCCTATATATAAACCTGAGATATTAATAGAGACAATAGGGATACTAGAACAATGGTTTATAACTGCTAGTAAAAAACACCACAAGATTATTGTACTTGGTAATTTTAATAATAATGTAGCAAGAAATAAGACGTGTAAAAAATTGTTTAGCAAAATGCAAAGTTTAAAACTATTAAGTCTATTAGAGCTTCATACTAATATGTACTACACTTGGAAGTGTGAAGAAAGCCAAAGTCAAATAGATGATATATGGATAGCTGATGACATAATACTAGACTTCAAAGCAATTCAATTGTTAGCTGCAGACAATATTATGAGTAGTAATCACCTCATTCTACGTACCCAATGGTATACAAAAATAGATAGAATTATTAGACCTCTGAGGAATAAAAGAAAGAAAAAAAAATGTTTGAGTACAACAAAATAAATCAAGAAAAATGTAACAATTTCAAAAATAAAATAGCAAATAAATTCAGGACAGAGAGACTCAAGCTTTTGACAATCTAGACCTGTTAAACAGGAACTGGAATTGGTTTGCAAACACAATTAAAGCTGCTACAAATAATAATATACCATATTGATATTTACAAAACTGAAACTTCTATGGTTTCTCTTTCAAAGCAACTAAGCTACATCTAGTACTTAAAGACACCAAGCAAATTCTTCGGCTAATTGAAAAAGAAAAGAAACATGATAAGTTGCTCAAAAATATAAATGATAAGATAGCGAAAATAAACAAGATAGTATCATTAAATCTTTCATTAATTATAGAACAAGATCAGGTGATATTAGAAAGTCTGGAAAATAAAATAAAAGAAAGTATCAAAGTTTTGAACAAGGTGAGGTTAAAAGAGAATTAAATGGCTAAAAGAGACAAGATAAACTATTATATACAAAAGTGGCACAAGAATTTCTAAGACAATATCAAATGCATAATAAATAGTATCCTTGGGTGGCATAAGGATAAAATCTTGTTCCAAAAAATAGTGAAAGAAGATCAGACTAAAAGAAATTAAAAATGAAGCAAAAGTGCACTTTAAGCTATTTACCAAAAAGAAAGAATACAAAGTAATAATTACAAAGATCTAATAACACAAATTACAGATGCAGAACTCAAAACATTAATAGAATAGTCATCAGTCAAAAAAGCCACAGAGCTTACAAGCATATCAAATGAGATGTTGAAGCAACTCCTTGATAAAGCAATCATATTCTACAAAGATATTGTCAATACATGCTTAATCTTGAGAAAAGTGCCAGATCAATGGCTGAATGCGAATATTTGACCTATTTCAAAAAAAGAACAATATAATTTCAAATTAAGTAATGTGTGACCAATCATACTAATAGAACATCCCAGGAAAATATTCACTGAATCAAGTTTAGTATAAGAGACTCCACTATTAAATTTGATTATTAATCAATTGAATTTAGAGTAGGATCCCTTATATTAAACTTGATCCTATTCACTAGCATTATTACCCAAAGATTAAACACCATTATTAGATCTTGAACAACAGTAATAGCATAGCACTACTATTTACAACTACAGCAACAGCTATATAGGCAGTAAACCACATTATGGAAGATGCTATAAGCCACGATAAAGAATACTGAATACTATTCCAAGATATGTCAAGGGCTTATGATTCTGTTCATATACCTCTTCTCGAAAAGGTATTAGAGCGAATAAAGATGGCATAAGCAGTAATCGAAATATTACAATACATCTTTAAAAATTGCAATAATAAAGTAATTATTGACATAGGGCAAACTGAAGGCTATAAAATAGATAACAGGATAGATTAGAGTGAGACAATATCACTGATTTTGTAGAGAATCTTCTACAACCTGTTAATAAATAGAATCAATACAGAACATAAAGGTTATTCCTTATGTGCAAGTACACCTGACAACAAGCTATATACAAAAAGATATATTGGTGCTAGCATACATGAATGATTCAGCTTGGATAACTGAAAACAAAGAGGACATGGAAAAGATAATTACAACCATACTAGAATTTTATAAGTATACTAATATTAAAGTAAATCCAACTAAATCAATCTTGATTACCAACACTAAAAATAAGGCGAGAACAATCAATATGCATGGCACAGAGATTACAATGCAAAAGACAGAGTGTTTTAAGTATCTGGGTGCAGTTTTTTCAATTGATTCAAAAAGGAAGGCCATAAAGAAACATATCGAGAATTCAATTTTTACAGCACTTAGAAGGTGTAAAATTGCAAAAATAACAGAGAAACAGGCAGTATATATAATTAACTTAGTAGTAATACCAAGGTTAAGTTATCAGCTTCATAGTTTCTTTTTAAGTGTTAAGCAATACTAGCGCATTACAAGAAAATTTATCCAAGTTATATATAAGAAAGGAAGGTTTTCAAGAGATATACCAGGTTCTAATTTCTTATACCCAGAAATATATGCCTTGAATTTAGTTGAACAAATACAACAACAAGTCTTAATAAATAATATATACAATGCAATTAATTGCAATTATTTCAATACAAGTACTTTAAAAATAAAATTGCAACAAATACAGAATGCTATATATACTAATAAATCAATACTAATATATTAGACAGTTCTACCAATGTCTGAACAAAACAATCTAACTTCATTCACCATAGGGCAGTTACATGAAGCGCAAACGCAACTGCAAAGACCTCTCAACATATAGCCTAAAGCATTGAAAAACAAGGAAACCAGTATCAATAGAGTAGTCAAGTGTTTGGAAAATATAGCTATAGTAAAAACAAGATTAAACAAACTTGGGATAGGATTTGTAGAACAATTCCTTAATTTCGAACAAAATAATAATTTACAGTGGAAGAAATTTCATCATTACATAAGCCTAACGCCTAAAGGCTGTGAACCAAGTTGGTTCAAAGAAATT